CCTCCCCCCCTTTCCGCCTTCCACGCCTTCAAAGAGGACGGGGAGGGCGGGGATCGAGGGGAAGGGGGGGCGGTCCTGCGGATCGCGGGGTTTTTTATCGTGATGGTGGTGCTGAGCGGGATGCCGGAGGTGCTGCAGCAGATCAAAGGCCTGCCGCGGCCCCAGCAGGTGGTGTTATCGAACTGGGCCAAGGAGGTCATCGCGGGCTACCGGCTCAAACCCCTCCAGCGCTATGGCGGCGGTGCGGGGGAAGGGGGGAGCCCGATGGGAGGGCGGCCGCGCTTCTTTCAGAGCCCGCGAAACAGTCTCGAGGCCTCGATGTCGTTGAACTCGACGCGGGGGGCGTGGTCGGGGGTCCTGCCGATGGCCACCGCGGCGCCGTCGGAAGGGCATGCCGGGGCCCTGCCGGCGGATCCGACCCTCTTGGGCGCCGACGACGATTACTACCGCACGATGACCCAACAGCTCCGCGGCGACCTCGAGGACGCCCGCGGCCGGCTCCACGAGGTCGAGGAGAAGCTGCGGCTCAGCCAGGAGGATCAGCAGGCCTGGGAGAGCAAATATCGCCACCTCCTCGCGGAGCAGGCCCCCCGGCGGGCCGGCGCCCCCGACTCCGCCGATTTCATCCGCCGCATTTCGCTCAAGGAGGAGGCGATCACGGTGCTGAATCGCACGGTGGACGAGCAGGCCGCGAAGCTTTCCGCCTTCAAAGAGGCCACCACCGCGCAGACGGAAGGGGTGCTGCTGCTGAAGCGAAAGCTCAAAGCCCTGCAGGAGGAGCTCATGCGCAAGTCCAACGAGCGCCGCGAGGCCGTCGAGAAGCGCGCGATCGCCGAGGACAAGCTCGCGCTTCAGATCCAGTCCCGCCAGGACCTCGAGAACGAGCTGGAGGAGCTTCGCTCGCAGCTGACGCTTCTCCAGCTCGCGCAGCAGGGCAAACCCCCTGGGCGCAAGGACGACGAGGACCTCGCCGGCCCCGCGCTTTCGCTCTCCTTCGGCTCGAGCGTCTCCGTGGATCGCGTGATGCAGCTGGAGAACGAGCTGGACGACGTGCGGACGCAGCGGAACAGCCTTCAGCGGCAGCTGTTGGCCCTGCAACGGCAAGTCGCGACGATGCCCTCGGCCCTGGCCGACCCGACGGCCGCGAACGACACGCTCAAGGCGCACCTTCGCCAGCTCGAAAAGGAGAAGGAGCAGCTGCACTCGGAGCTGTCGGCGCTGCTGGAGCGGGCCGGCCCCAAAGGGGACTCCTCTGGGCATTCCGCCGCGATTGTGGGGCCTGACGGGGAGAGGGGGGAAGGGGAGGCCGCCGCCCTCCGCCGCGAGCGCGCGCAGCGGGAGCGGGTGTTGTTGGCCTCGCTGCTGCTGCAGTACGGCCACCGCAACCTCAGCCTCCAGCAGCACCAACTTCTCCTG